GGTCTTTAAAGGTCTCTTCCAACTCAAACCACCCTATGATTCTAAATACTAGTGAAGTTTCACTGCCTGCAGTATCTTGTACAGCCTCTTACAGAACAGAAGCATCTTCTGAACTTTTTAGATATCATATTCTGAACAGTTAACTGTACATGCAAGCAGAGTTAAAAGATCAGTTTTTGGGGCAGAGATCAGATCTTTTACAATAAAAACTGACAGGATTAGACAATCATTATCATTAAGGCAACAGATACAATATTCAAGACTAAAATTCTGTGCGTTATCACAACAATCCTTAGTCTAAAGGCTCTTTTCTACATACTGCAATGCACCAAAAACTTATGTAAATCTAGATCTCATGTGTATTCACAATCCAAATGAAGAAAATTTATAAAAAACACATATAGTAACACTATTCCACCTCAGAAATTTATACTTACTGGATGGTAATAAAAGAAATACTATAGTCAGTCATGAAAATTTGAAAGTTATTTAAAAAATAAATAGTGTTTGCAAGAAGAGAAGAAAAATTTTCTCTTTGAAGTTGTTTTAAAAAAAAAAAAACCCTAAACACTCAAACCTTAAGTAAAAAACCTGAGAATTTAACCAACAGTTTTCATCTGAAACAGAATTAGGTACAGAGAATTCCCATGTAAGACTCCATTTAAACGTAAGAAAACACACTTACAATATGACAATGTCTTTAGAGGCATTGGCACTTAGTGCAAACTCATGACAGTTAACTACTTTAAATCCGTATCCTTCACATGTATAACCACTGATTTCCATGGTTTTCACATTAATCTGCAGCTGCCCTGTATTTTCCACTTTAAACGTTCTTCTCAGAGTGAAATTTGGTTCTTTGTATTTCATTTCTAGAAAGAAACAGCAGAAAATGGTTAGTGTTATATCCTTCACTATATCCACGTTGTACAGTAGAAGAAAGGCCTGTCAGTATTCCAGCAGGGAAGGGGACTAGCAAGGCCTGGGGAAATCCCTACGTAACCCGCAGAAACGGATCTCTGAAGCCAGATTCTCATCACTGTCAAGGTAGGGCACTTGTACAATTCCAGAGCACTCTAATGCATCAGGGAAAACCCACAAACTCCCAAACCTCTGACAGCACTGCTGCCTCACAAAAAAAGTCATCTAAGCTGTAACGTTCTTTGAGGTACTGCTTAGTGGTGTGGCATTCTGTGAAAAGTCCCAGCATGAGGAGAATTAAAGCTTATTTTTTGTGTCTTAAAAAAAACCACGTGTGGCCGAGCTACACACACCTTATTAGCAAAAAAAATCCCTAAACCACAACATGTAAGAGGCAATGACGAAGCTTTACTTCAAGTTTTCTTCCTTGTCCCTCAAAGAAAGCAGAATAATCTCAGATGATAATTATCATGGCACCTTACAAATACATCTGGAAATCTGCAAGGTACAACGCGGATTTTAATACCAGATACAACTAAACTTCTTTCACCAGCTCCTGTGGGAATACAGGTACTCTTAGCTCTCCCCGCGGAAGCAAGCCTGGGGCCACAAAGCAGAAAACCTCTGGCACCAGAGTACAATCTAACTGGGATTTAATTTTCCACAAGGAACACACCCTACCTTTTTCCAGGTTGGCTATGTGCATACACAGATTCTGAAGGTGTGAGAGGGAAAAAAAATACACAGAAAGTTTCATCTGTGATACAATTTGACTTAAATTTAGGAATTAGAGATTATCCTAGCAAAGGTACTGGGATCTTCACCTCCTCTGTCTTTAATTTTAGTGGATGAAGGGCTTTTGTTTCATCTTTCCCAGTTTTCACATTAACGTGACAAAGGTAAAATATTTAATTCTCTGCCTAAACGAAGAAGCAATTTTAACGTATTTAAAGAAATTAAACTTCTGGGGCATGAGAAGAGGGGAAAAATACTTCCACACATTTCAAGTTGTACATGTAAAATGTGATTTCTGTTCAGCATAGTAGCTCACAAAGTACTCACTTTCTGAACAGTCTTTTAATAATGCTTCTGTGATTTTAAAGCGTAAAGAACTTCCTGGACCAGGCGGCTTGCCTGCAACCTTCAAGCTCTCAGTCGTTCCTTGTCCTTGTACCATTATGGCATCTACTACAGTCAAATTATTTCTGTGTACAAAGAAAAAGAGGAAACTCTCATAAGAGGACTATGCAAGCTTCTCTAGAGACTATGAAGTTAACATCCCAAATCTGGAGGACAGAAACACAAGCAGTTCCACAGACAATTCCCCACAATACGGAAGTAAATAGTGGGGGTTCCCAAACATAGTTTGAGACAAAAACCTAAGAAATCACAACGTAGCGTACAAATAAACAACTCAATGAGGTACTGGTTAAAGGTTTCTATTTCATCATCATATTAATGTATCACGCCTGATACAAAAGCAAAACAGTTATTCAAACAGGGCTCTTTACTAGACAGATTGAACTGGCACTGCAGCTCGGTCTTGCAAACGTCATCTATAACCGGAGTCCCTACGTTCAAGACAGCACAGTAAGTATTTAAGAATGCGAGCCTCCAAGTACAACAGTGGATTACATACTTATATTAGAAAGCATGCACTGAATACAGTTTAACTACTGCAAAACATATTACAACTGAATTTAAATTCAAATTTTCTCCAGACACAAAATTCTACAATTATTCTTGTAGAAGTGATGGTTTCTTATCGGCAGCAGATCACAAGTATGACCTTATATATAAACTAAACACATCAGAAAAACTCACAATCATTTTTGGAAATATCTATCATACCTGATAATAATTAATGACGACACAGTTTTATTGAGAACTGGAGTGAACTTTACTTTGACAGACTTTCTCTCACCAGGTTTTAACATTAGGCTTAAAACTGAATGACGAGCCAGGCCCTTTGTAAGTCCTACTGTGCTCTGTATTGGCTGGACCTTAAGAGAGTGGGGAAAACAAAGTAACACTTTTAAAAATAGGAATTTTTTACATATATTTGACAGAAATAATATTATTTTAGCTACAAAATTGGTCGTCTTATAAAAAATATGGTATATACTGGGGTTTTTAACCAGAAAGTCCGATAGCACAAGAATTTCCCTACTTATCGGTAAACCATCTGTGTTCATTAAGAAGCAGAGCACAGCAAGACAGAACTGAGCTAAACTACACACATGTGGATGCATAAAGCTCTGCCAGAAGAAAGAGTTCAGAACTTTTCCGAATGTGTATTTAAAACACCAAGTTAGCATTAGGCCATTATGTAACATTTTCTACCCACAATTGTTGTTCCATTGTTAAAAACATTCTTAGAATATCATTTTTCCTAAGTAAATGAAAAAAGGGGAAAAAGTAAACTCAAAATAGAAGAACTACTGAAGAAAGTATGTTTCGCTAAGTTTGCCCTTAGGTACTGCGCAAGCATCAAATTGCTAATCTAAAACTACCTGCAAATGGAGGGGAAAAGGCGCATACACTGAATGAAAAAAGAAAGCGTTCAGGATGCGGCATGCTCTACATGAAAAAGCACACACTTAAAGATGTCCACAAAACTCAAATCATTTAAAATAAAGAACAAAGCAATGGAAAACTCAATACTTTCCTAATTTTAGAACTACCAACCACTACACCAAAGAAAATAATCCTGTAGCAGTAACAGAATGAATAAATGCAGTTTTCCAGTAACTTCCACAATTCTCTTATAATGTCAGCACACAGAAAAAGCGACATTTTAACTGTTATGGTTGAAGAAATACTACTTTGCCTAATTCCCTGAAAATATCCAACAAAAGCATCACATTTTTCACACATACTGATACCTAAGCTTGAAGTCACATGCAACTGAACAAAACATATTTTAAAACATTAAAATATCTCAATTTAAAAATCTAAAGAACGCATTGAAATACTTACACAATTTCTGAAGACCTGGAACTCGAGAGTCCTCAGATTGAAATTGGTCGGCTTACTCAAATTCAACCTAAAACAGACAGGCAGTATTTTTTTCCCCCAGATCAGGGAAGATAATGATGATACACTTGCACTTCAGGATTTTGGCACAAATCAAGAACTTATGGTAAGACTGAAATAACATACAGCTGAAAGGATCAATTTTTTTTATTTTCCCCCCTTAGACTTCAAGTTAAAGAAGAAATGTAAACACCATTTTAGCTTAGCAAAAAACCACAGATGTGCATTCAATGGCAATCAGCCTGGATTCAGTTCTCGCCTGGCCTAAGGCTTCAAATTCTAGAAGTGGCCAAAACTGTAACTACCAACGCAGCTGCCAAACAGTGCACGTAATTTTTGTAAAATACACCTTGCTGCAGCGTGAGAGCGGCCTCACTTACTCTAAAACAACACTTACCGGTCTAACATTTTATCCACGAAGGTGGATGGATTAGAATACAGAGCTACAGGAAGGAACTGAACGTACACGGGAACGTCAGCTGGATTTTCTACAAAAATTTCTTCTTCCTATTCAGAAACACAGTTTTTGTTAAGTTTACATTGGGGTTAATGTCATCAGGAATAGTTATTAAAAATGCAGTCCCTACAGAATGATGCCATCAACGAAATAACTTACTGATGAACCGTTTGTGTTGGTCAGAGGGAAGCTCAGCTGGCGTGGTGAACTAAGTACGGAAGGCCAGGCCATCTCTGCTGTAATTTTCAACTGGACATCCTTCTGAAGATCTGTGTCTACTTCAAATACAGCATTCAGTCTGGAGTTAGAAGAGTTATAGAACTTACTTTACAGGAGTAAAACAGGAAAAGCCTGGAAAAGGCAAAGCGCCGAAAAGCACCCTGAAAACAACGTTAGTTTGAGAAACGGAACGGTACATCATTTTTATATGCAATTAAAAACCCCACTGAGCTCTGCCCATACGTAATGCTATTAAAAAGCGCAACAGAAACAAAACATGCTATATGAGACCAACCCAAAGATTCTACAGATGCTCTCTGTTTAAGTATTGTTGCCAACATCCATCCATTCCAAGTTCTGTTATGGCCTATTTAGGGATAAAGGTGAGCAGAAAACGTGGTAGGACTTATGTAGCGCTTCACAAACCTTTCAGTATTTGCATTTCTCTTAAATCACTGCTCTCTGGATGGAGACACACAAATTTTATCTTTCATTAGAAAGTGCCTAACCCTCACTATTGCAGAAACAAATTTTGAGAATGAGACTCGCATCAGAAAGAAAAATAACCAAAAATAACCTGATGATTTGCAAAGATATAAACAGTAGAAAGGAAAGACATCAGCCCCGTTACAGCCCGTTTCCCATACAGCATCCAGACATCCACTATCCCTAACACGCACTGTCCGTATGTACAGTATGTCCGTACACGTACTCTAGCTGCAACGGATACACAGAGTATGAGCTATAATCTTGTCTAACATTTAAATCTAAAGCAAACCTGAACTGGTCACACTTGGGGCCAGCTGCTATTTCCATCAGTGAATGAAGTTCTTTGCTGTTAATCAACTTCTGCAACAGGCTTGATTCCTGCTCTCCTACAAGCTCTCTACCATAAGCTGAAACAAGACTGACAGTATTGAGCTCTCCAGTCAGCCAAACAGACGAAACGCTATGGACTTCAAACCTAGAGAAGTATTTTGGAGAGACTCCAAATGCCCAAGTCAGAACACCTCTGTGTTCAGAAGGAGCAGTTTCTCCTTTGCTGAATGCTACCTTGGGTACGTGGTTAATTTTAACTCTCTTTAGATCATTACAGATTCTAGATTACATATATATTATATTAGATAATATTAAAGCATTATATATTCTAGCTAGAACTGTTACTTACTCAAAAGTAGCTCTTAACATAATTTTCCTTTACTGTCCACTTACTGCAGGTGATAGGACATTCTTGGAAGTTAGTGGTGTGGCTAAACAGAGGATTCTGTTTAGATCAGATTTCTTCAGGAGTTACTACTATATCAGCACTGTAACAAAGAAGTGCTGAAGGAGGTATGCTTTTGTCACTGTGTTTAGCTACACATGGTCATTTTGTTTCTCCACAAGCATGCATACCTTTTTTTGAAATGGTAGTCTGGGTGCTATCATCACAAAAGACAGATGTGCTTCCTGTTAATGCTAACTTAGGTCTCTTGGAAATGAAATCACTTTATATATGAGAAGGCAGATGTTTAAAAGGTACACAGCAGCCTACAGATTTGTCTTTTCCTAAATATTACATAGCAATCATTAATCACCTTCTATTTAGCAAAGCTCAAGGAAAAATGCCAGACAATTTGATAATTCACTGAAACGCAACAATCCCAGAATAGTAACAACAGAAAACCTTACGAAATCTTAGGGGGATATTGCGGTTACTACTTTCAAACAGATTAAGCAGGGATACTGCACAAGCAGTATAATCTGTTTTGAGAAATTTCTGCAGAGCAGGGACTGCTTTGCTGTTGCCATCTTCTCAAGAACTGCAGCATTCTCCAGTGAACAGTAACTTTCAGCGTTGTGTCTGACTTGAGGAAATTATTACTGTTTTTTAACTTTTGTATTTTATGAGAGCACACACAATGCAGAATTATCCAGTGATTTAAGGCCTGAGAAAATAACAAGGATAAAATACTTACCTATGGCTTGAGTTCTCTTTTATGTCTGTCCATTCTTTGAACAAGTTCTCATGCAAATCCCAGTCAGAATCCCATGCATCTTCTTGCATCGCTACGCTGTGCTGAACTTTAGATTCCGCTTTAAGAAATAACACGTCATGTAAAACCACTGCTTAAGGAGAAGACTTTTTTTTTTTAAAATAAGATTTTCATTATAAAGTTGAACATGACTTACATTTAGATAGAAAAGGCAATCCTACATAACAATGATCTCCACATTGTAAACCAGGATCAAAATAAATATTTGCAATCTGCAAAACAGATCAGAGCAGATCAATTAAACAGCACGGTAAACCTAACAACCAAAAGGAAAAAAAAACCCACAACCAAAAAGACTTCTGATGACCACAGAAACTTAACACACGCTATATATAAGAGAGAACTTGTAAACATGTAGAAATAAGGCATGAACAAACCTTTGACTTTTTTCCTGGCTCTAAATCTTCTTTATTACTTCTCAGCCTCTTATAATAAAACCTTACATCTTCTGACAGGGAGCGTATGTGTTGTATTTTCACTTTCTGAGAAAAGGAGTTCATAATGTTCAGGCTCTGGTGAACTACTTTCCCCTAAAGAAAAGAAAGGATGAAAAAAAGTCTGCAGGATATGCATTTTCCCTAGCATATGTATTTATTTATGCAGGTTGGCAAAAACCACAGCAGAGCTGAAATGTTAAATTGAGATTTTTAACTAGGCTATTTTAAAAAAAAATGCCACTTGTAAGACTTCAAGGTAAGTTTCTGAGAAGTTGTATTGATTCCTCCACCTGCTTCCAAACACAGTTCATCCCACTTTCAAAATCAATTACACCTTATGTGTCTTGAAGAGCCAGGACAACAGTTCTGCTTAATCATGTTAAAAAAAGTACCAGAGAAGGAAAGGCAAGAGAAAACTTTGGGTTTTTGAGCCTCCTAGAAGAAGGGAAGAAGAAGGGAAACCAGCTTCTTGTAAGAGACGTAGTACATAGTTGTTAGTAATTAGAAATAACGTGAAAGGAACAGCAGAGTGAAGCTGCAGATTACAAACACTGCAGGTGACAGAGGTACATACAAAACATAGGTACAACCTTCCTTCCCACTCCCATTGAAATTAAGACAGCATTTAAAAACATAGGTACAGCCTTCCTTCCCACTCCCATTGAAATTAAGACAGCAGACGCTAAAATTACAAGATTTTAAAAAAAAAACAACCAAAACAAAACAGTGCAAGTTCTTTCCCCACACCTTTACACTCTGCCTCCTCTTCCGAGCCAAACGTTACTTCACCTTTCGAGCACAGAACATGTAGTCTGTTTGTCACGATCAGAATCATTACAATGCTTAAGCTCTCCCCCTGCCCTCACTGTAAATCAGTGATTCTGTGGCCATGTTTTTCACGTTATCTCAAAACCCAACCCTGACAGAGTAAACGATACATAAAAACCAACAGAAACAAAAAAAGCGCAACTAAGGATCGGTGACAAGATTCCAGATTTATATAAAATAAATGAATACAAGCAAATTTAAATACCGAAGACTTATCTTCTAATGAACATGACTAGAGTTTTTCACATTCCCCTTAAATCAACACTTTCAGCTTTTTAAAAATGTCTCTAAGGCAAGGACTGAAGTGGAAAGATGGGAAATAGGCACTTTTGCAGGCTCAAAATGTCACTGGGGCCTCGGGAAACATCACATACTGTAACAGCCTCAATAGCAGCAACTGCAGAGGGAAAGCAGCTACAAGAATAAATCTCTAAACAGTACGGTCCTGTTTAACTGAATAGGAGGTATGTCTGTGATTCATCTATGGGATCCTATGGGTATTGAATGAGCCAGATAAAGGTCTGTTAAACTCTGCAGAACAAACGAACAGTATTTCGCCAACACCCTCACGCAGCATTTAGACTTGAAACAACAGATAAGGGAAGGCGCTTCGTCCATCAGTAATAAGAAAAACAGAACAATGCTATTTAGCATACAGGTCCTCAAAGATGAGCTTTGACAAGGGAAGAGCTGAGAGGTGGCGCTGTGTAAGCTAACAATGCCGTTACGAAGCAGAAGCCAACACGGCTAAGATCTGTTTAAATCGAGACACGGATCTTTACAAGGCCTGTATACACTGTTAGCGTATTGCTGACAAACTCTGACAGAACACCAGAGACCAGACTTGGGTGCAAATACACTAAAATTATAAACAGGGACAGACAGCACTGGGAACTGGGCAGCTGCAGGAGAATTACATCCTAGGTCTGAACCGAAAAGCAAGTGTTACTAAAATTGTAGCGCTTAGCTATTCCTGGATGTTATAGCTGTCAAATTTCGCTACCAAACACTGAAACAAGAAGAATTAATGCTATTTAAGGCTTATTTTCATAAGTAATGGAGGCATTACAGAACAACTAAATGCAAGAGTATCATGACTTCAGTGATCACAAGTTCAGTTTGAAATGAATCCAAGAAAAAGGGAAAATAAGTCTGCTCTCCATGTCCTCAAATATCAAAAGAGCTAAGTGAGCAACTAACAGAACCGAAGCTGACTACTCTGAAAAGCTTGGGGCTTGAACACAGAAAGCAGTCTAGAATCTTGTCGAAGGTGGTAACTGTATCTGAAACTATACTCCAAAACAAAATGCAGGAGCCCAAGGGTCCCCTGAATGAATAATTATGTGAAAAAATTACTAGAAAAGAGCATGAAGTCAATAAAAATCACAACAGTCTGGGGATGAGAAAGAAGGATGACAGCAAGGAAGCTATGCCTTAGAGGCTGAGAAACACAGGTGCCACAAGTAGTAGTAGCTGCCAAACCAAAATAAAAGCAAAGAAAAAGAAAAGAAATCAAGCTGACCAAGACCTTGGGTGCATACTGAGATACACTAACAAGCTCTTTAGACATTCCAGTTAGAACAAAACAAAAGGAGATTTTAAAAAACTACTATTTTATGGCCCAAAATGGAAGAAGATATTTTAATGCGGCATTCAAGAGGGACAGTGATCTTGCTAGGAATTAGGATACAGAATATAGAAACTGCTTTATCTTTGGCGAAAGGGAAAAAGACCTTAATGTTATTTCATTTTATCAAAGGCTCATGGAGCAGTTAATAGATGAAGTTACAGATACAGTATTCAGTGTAATAGCTATCCATATAATGGTGAGGCCGTACAGTCAAATAGGAAACAAAGATCTTAAAGATAAAAAATAGCAAGTGTTCTTTGCAACCGTAGGCACGACTGTTTGGCCTCAGAAGTAACGAAAGACTTCAGAACAATTTGTGAAGTTGGAGATCAGAAGGGAGATGGAATGGATAATGGAGCAAATGTAGCAATGATTTACTGAAGTCCTGCCGACTTGACCTGTCTTCCTCCAATGAGGCCTATCACATTACTTTTTCAAAAAATTATGATTTATCTACTAGACATGAGTAAAGCATTTGATAAAATGCCAGTGAAAAATCACTATTTAAGAGTACACAAATTGTAACATAAACAGGATATACCAAGGAGCTGCTAGAAGAGGAGGTGAGAACATGTGGCACTCTACAACAGATTGAGACTATGCAGGACAGGCAAGGAAACAGAAACCATTTCCACCAACGTGCATGGAATTAGTTTTATCCTTTCAGAAAACTGACTATCTCCTTTTGCTACCTTTCCCCCCCCAGTTTTCAATCTCCTTCCCTATGATTTTCCACCACATTACATTCCCAACTCACCAGAAAGTCCCATGAAGTTTACACCTCAATGAAATACCAATTGCAAAGTCAATATGCCTTGACTGCCCATGCTTCTGTGGTTATGCTGAATGCCAAGTGAGAAGAAAGTATTATCTGATTAATAGCTTGCTGCTGGAGCCTGTAGCCCTGAGCAAAGCTGCTGCTTTCAGCTCCCACTACAGGAGCAGGAAAATTTTACAGAGAGTTGTAGACCCACACAGCCCTCTTCCTTTCCTGTTCATGTACTCCACCACGTACCCTTGAGAAGATCTACTTTCAGTGTGGAAACAACACAATAATGCTTCTTCAGAGATCAAGGACTTACTACACTAAAACATCAATTTACTAGCAGGTTTTGTTGTCTTTGGTATTACACTTCAGGAATTTGAAGAACGCATTTGTGCAATTTCATCTCTCTCTTACTCTTGGTGCTAATGCACATGAACTGGTAATCACCAAGTGACCACAACTATGTTAGAATGAAGCTGCAAAGAATCGGGTTTGGGATCACATCAATATTTCAAGATCCCATTCAAGTGGGCAGCAGAGGAGATGCTGGGACTCATACTTGGGACGTGTGGGGGGAAAAAAAACCCCCAAAATAGCAACAAACTGAATCATAACCGTTTGGTAGCACAATCCCTCTGTCAACTTGACATGCAACAATTGAAGACACTGGTTTCTCTTGAAAAGGACACATAAATAAATAAATAAACAAACCAATAAGAATGTAATGCTATGGCCCAACTCTCTTACCGGAAAAGAAGGCGGAAGAAAAACATGTTTTGGGGAGCAGGTCAGAGACCCCACAGCAATCACTGCCTTCACTGGTATAGTTAAAATCTGGAAGAAAACACAAAACAAAACCAAACAAAATAGAATGAGAAAAATTTAGGAAAAAATATTTACAACTTCAGCCTTTAAACATCTCTTCCACTTTCTTTGCACAGCATAACAAAAACCTGAAATTGTACAATTAGTGTAGTCTAGGTTTATACACACATTTCGAACATGGAGACATGAATTCAGAGTTCAACACATCATGATATTCAGAACAGTCACTCCATATCATTAGGAAGCACACCTTGGCTCAGGCATACTTAGCACCACTCCACATGGAATATAAAAGCACAGGTAAAATATATAAGGTCTCCAATCGGGCATTACATAGGTCTCACTTGAACGGGGCTTCCTTTGTTGGAAAGCAGGAGGATAACATCTTTGAAGTAAATGAGTACAAGGGAAGAGGATATACCGAACTTCTCAAAAAAACATTAGAAGTCACGGTAAGACCTTGAGATAGACATAAACTTAGAAAAAGTAGTGTGGAAGGGATGGCAATGAGATCATTTCTGTATATTAAAGCTACCAATACGAGTAACTTGTAAGAACGAGCAAGAAAATAAAACATTTCAAATTCTGTAACTGAAGGGTCACATATGCATATGGTCATACTAAAAAAAAGCTTAAAATCTCAGGTAACTGGGAGAAATTTGGAATTTCCCATTTTCTTGTAGCTTCATCAGAATCACACAGTAAGCTATATAATTTCCTGTCTTCATAAGCACAGTGTGTCTCTTTTTTCCCCCCAACACATATCACCCAAAAATATTAAATACAGATTCCATGACGTATTAGAATCTCTCTCTTCTGCAAAATAATTTATTAACAGGAAAGGCACAAGAAATTGAGAATTAACCTGTTGTTCTTCTCTCCCTTACTAGTCTCAGTGTAAGAACTCTGTTTCTTCAACTGTCAGCAAACTGCAATTTCTCCAAAACAACTTTCACATTGAGTTTTGACAAAAAATCCTCTGCAATTACAGCTCAATTTCAGTAACTGATAATGTACCAAAAAGCACACTGTCAGCACATGTTATGCCAAAACATCCACGTATTGATGCTTTGAGGATGTGTGAAGCCATACCTCAAAGCGTTAGGTCAGATTTAAATGGATATTTCTGAAAGCTAGGTGAAAATCATAATGAAAGTCATTCTTCATTGTGTCAGAGAGGACACAGCATAAGTAGCATTACTGTTTGATGCAAGGTTAACTTCCAGAGATAACTTGACCTCCAGAGGTCCCTGCCAACCTCAGCTTCTCCCCGCTATTGCAGTCTGTCCACTAATACAACTCTTAAAACTTCACGCTTAAAAACTGAACAAATCATTTGTGCGACACCCATGAATATACAATAAATATACCTCATAATCTGTCGTGATTTGTACAGCTCCGTCATGAATTCCTTCAAGTTCTTTCGCTATTAGTTTTACTCTAAACACAGCATAATAACCTGATGCTAATATCACCTGTAAATGGTAGGAAGAGAGTTACCCATCCTGTTCATGAAATGGAAAGACATTTCATTAAAAAACCATACCAAACATCCTTATTTCTTTAAAAGAGAGTTACCCATCCTGTTCCATGAAATGGAAAGAAATTTCACTAAAAAAACCATACCAAACATCCTTATTTCTTTAAACTGAATCAAAACCCATTTGAAACAACTGACAGTGGTAAAAAGAAAAATTCAAACACAAATTACTAACACAAGAATTATCTGTTCCTTGGGGTGATAAATTCCACTCTTCCCAGATAAATGTTAAGCATCATCTGAGGGCATGGAGGTTACTGTTTCTGAGGCTTCCTCTTTCAAAATCTAACCAATCTGAACATAATACTGCTTCTTAAAATACATTTTAAAAATTCTACATGCTTTTTCATACTCAAACTCAGCCAAAAACTAAGAATTCTTATCCTCCCTTCCCCCTCTTGAAATGAAACTGCAAGAAGTTGCACCGATTTACCTCTTTTCCCCCTGCTTCTATACCTAGCTTTAAGCAACAGATTCAAAGGCTTACTTACCGAAGACTGATCGGACGCACTAGCATTTTGTAGTTCCTGGTGGTTGGCAATTATCGTTGTTCTGTTTCCCTTCTCGGTTGTTAGAAGTTCTATGGCCAAACCATCCCCTATAATATGCCAACCTTTTATAGCCAGCTTTAAAAGAATGAGAGGTACTGTTTTCAGTGACAACACTGATGTAATTTTTACAAGGCAAATTAAAAAAAAATTTTTAAATCAAAAATTTTAATTTTTAAAAAGCAAAAAAAAAAAATCCATCCTTACCTCTATCGGATTGCTGTTGATGACTGCAAATAAAATGCTGGTAGCTTCTGTTGCACTCAGTATGCCAAAATCTATAAATCGTTCCTCAGTTTTTGGAGGCAGTACGAAGTACTAGAAAGATTGATAAAGTTATTTTAGCACAAGGTAAATATAAAAACTCTAAGCTTATTAACAAAAGCATTAATAAGTCTAATACAGCGGTACTGTATTCTATAGGGATAAAATAAAAACTAAAGGGCATAAAAAAGAATTTTTCAGCAGTAACCAAAGCTGTTCACTGAACTGGCGAAATCATTTTGAAATTAAAAAAGTCATCCTCCCACAGAAATAGAACAAAGAATTAAAAACAGTCCTATAAAGCCTGCCTCTAATTAGACAAAAGTAGCTAACAAAAAGGGAAAATACTTACATCTAAAAATCCTGTGTATGCTCGGACAGGTAGGTGAAATTTAGAAGCATTGGTGATAAGTAAAATATTATTATCTATATGAACCGATGATGTGGAAGGCATAAAATGAAGTGTAAAAATATATCTGGATTCATTAGGTGGAATTAAGACTGGTTTACTGAAGTTCTGGACCTAGATCAGCGAACAACGAAGATCAATGTTACAATTTAACAAAAGTGCAGCACATTTAAACATTCACTATTAGCTAAAAATGTTCACTGAAATGGGCCTTACTTTAAACATCGGTTTTGCTTCTTCTGGTAACACAACATCATGTATAAGGACTGCAAAACTGAACGTGTTTGTTAGATAGATCAGTCTTTCCACGGAATCAGCAGCACTGTCACGGATGTG